CTCAGCATGCTGAGCCTCCAGGCGCCGGTCCCTGGCCTTTCACTCCCACAGGTCTTCCCTCCGCTTGGAAAACCTATGCTGATAGTCCTCAGTGAGATGCTTCTGCTGAGCCTCCTTCTCAGTCAGATACAATTGGAAGTGAGCTGAGCTGTTTTGCCAACTCTTTTCTCCTGGGGGCTGCTTCGCTCCAGCAACTGCTCCCTGTTGGGGCCCTAAGGAGCCCGGGTGGGCAGGCGAGGAGTGGCTGGGAGGGGAGGGGTGAGTAGAGGCTGGCAAGGCGCCCCTCGATGTGAGTGACAGCGAGTCGGCCACACCCACCCAGTCACATGATCACCTAGCCACACCACCTGCCTGGTCATTCGGCAGATCCTATTAGTGATCCGCGGGATTTAAAATCATGAATTTCGTGGTCCTTGAGGTCCGAAAGGTTGCGGATCCATGGTCTACAGATAGGAACCCAGATCCAAAGATGCAGCCAAGTGAAATACACCCCACGACCGATTTTCAGTTATCAAGGCCTCAAGATTTCCGCCCTATCCTCACCTTCAGGATGGCGCCTCTGTCCCAAACCGTGAAACGCTCCCGATCTTTTCCTTGGACGTTGGAGGGAGAGGAGCCTCAAAGCTTCTCAATGTTCTTTCTTTTCCTTTGCGAACAGGATCACTTCGTTCAAGACCCAGCAGTGCTGCGGGAGCGAGCTGAGGCCAGGCGGGCGACCTTCCTGGCGAGAAAAGGGTAAGGGTCCCCCCAGAGCCCCCCACCCCAACCCCTCCTGACCTTTGTGCCGTGTTCCAGGCGGCCAGCCAAGGATTGTGATTTGCCAAGCTGGCTCGGAGGAACGGTTCCCACCCAAATTAGAGGGCACCAGATATTTAGATCATGGAATACTAGGGATTGGGCCCATTCACCCTTGGCCAATAAAGAATTCCCTTCTCTTCTCTTCCCTTCTTCCCTTCCCTTCCCTTCTCTTCTCTTCCCTTCCCCTCTTCCCTTCCCTTATCTCTTCCCTTCCCCTCATCTCTTCCCTTCTTCCATTCCCTTTCCCTCTTCCCTTTTCTTCCATTCCCCTCATCTCTTCCCCCTCCTCTTCCCTTCCCCCATTTCCTTCTCCTCTCTTCCCTTCCCCTCTTCTCTTCCCTTCCCTTCTTTTCCATTCCCCTCATCTCTTCCCCCTCTTCCCTTCCCCTTTCCTTCTCCTCTCTTCCCTTCCCCTCTTCTCTTCCCTTCTTTTCCATTCACCTCATCTCTTCCCCTCTCTTCTCTTCCCTTCTCTTCCCTTTCCTTCCCCTCTTCCCTTCCCCTCTTCCCTTCCCTTCTCTTCCCTTCCCCTCATCTCTTCCCCCTTCTCTTCCCTTCCCCTCTTCCCTTTCCTTCTCCTCTCTTCCCTTCCCTTCCATTTCCCTCATCTCTTCCCCTCTTCTTTTCCCCTCTTCCCTTCCCTTCCCCTCTTCTCTTCCCCTCATCTCTCCCCTTCCCCTCTCTTCCCTTCCCCTCTTCTCTTTCCTTCCCCTCTCCTCTTTTCCTTCCCCTCTTCTCTTCCCTTCCCCTTCTCTTCCCTTCCCCTCTTCCCTTCCGTTCTAATACTATTAATTCTAATTCTATTCTTTTCTATTATCTCTTCTCTCTTCTTCTTTGTGGCAGTCCCTCAAATATTGGAATGCTGCTATCATGTCAGCCCAGTGAAAGTTCGCTGGTTGAAGTTAACCAGCTTTCCCTGGGTTTCTCTTGCAGGCAAAAGCCAGATACCTCAGCAGCCGTGACGGGCGCTGCCAAGGGCCGCGGCCAAAGCCGAGAGACCGTGCAGGAGAGACGGAAGAAAGAAGCCAGCAAAGGGGCGAGGGCGAACCACAACAGACGCGCAATGGCCGACCGGAAGCGCAACAAGGGCATGATCCCGTCTTGAAACAGTGGTGTGCCAGGGAGGCCTGTGTCCCCCTCCTCCCAGGAGAGAGAGAGACAGAGAGAGAAAGCACCTTGCCTTTTGTAAAGATGAGTTTCCTAGGAAAGCACAAATCTACACACAAGAACAAAGGATTACAGACCTGCAATAGGGCTGGGTTGTGGAAATTGTGTGGTGTTGAAAAATGCTTTTCTTTTAAACCGCTCCTCTGGAAACCTTTGCTGTTTTGAGTTGTCCTTATACGTTCAACTGTCAGACCCACCTCAGTCTGGTCTCCCAGGAAAGTGAAACTCTCGACTCCCATTTGATAGAAGTGGAAAGGCTCTTTTACGAAGAGATGCTGATGGCAGAAGACTCAGGCGGAACCTAAAGTTCCCGTGAGCCAATATAGAACCCCCTGGCTCCCCCTAACCCTCCCCCCCCAACCCCAGTCCACCTGTGTGTAGCCAACCTAGAGATGTTTTGGGAAACCCTGAGGTGTTTGGGCTGGTGAAATTCCTCTCATGCTGAATGGCCTTGAAGATGCCAGTGTGC